TAAATTTTTTTCATTAATATGTGTTTTTGGAGTTAGTTTTGAGTTTATGCCAATTATTTGTCATTATTTTATGTTATTGTTCTGTTATTTGACAATATTTTTTTATTTTTTTTTGTAGGGAATTGTTGAGGCTTTGATGACTAAAGTTGAGGATTTGATATAAGAGGCTTGTAGATTTTATTATTGTACTTTGTTAATTTAAGTGTACATTTTGAATATTAAGAGATTTGTGTAGAGATAAGCTAGAATATGAGAATGTGAGAATGAGAGAAGATAATTTTCTGGTTTTAGAATTCTTTCTTATGTCTTACATTACTTACAATCAACACATATATATACAAGTTCCTAAGCCCCCCAAGTTAGGCAACCAACCTAGTTAGGCAACCAACCTAGTCAAGCCCCCCAAATATTGTAGGTGCCAAACATAGTAGGTGCCAAACATTAATTGACTACATAATCAACACATTAATTGACTACATAATTAACACATTAATTGACTACATAATTAACATATGCCAGGTTATGTTGTTTCAGGTTGAATCAAAATTTTGGTGGAGAAGACAATGGACGGGAGCTCCTTTTGCTCTGGTTGTCCGTTTTGTGATAGCTGGTGTTTTTATATAGTTTTTCTTCTTTTTACAAAGGACATGTTTTCTTTCTTTCTTTGTAAAATAATTTACATATATTTTACCCAAAAAAAATGTTTGACGTATATATTGTTTGTGCAAAAATCCTCACGGGAGAATATTCGCTTTGTGTTTTTCAACCCTTGATCTTCCTTCTCTCTCTTTCTCGATTTCTGTAAAAAAGACCGGAGTAAATACACCACACCTGGAGGATGTTGGCCAAAGGCCCTCCGATGCCTAAGTACAAAGTTGTTATTGTCCGCCGCACAAAGTTTTCAGGATTCGTCGCGCAAAGTAATTAATATTCATCGCGCAAAGTCGTCATGATTCGTTGCTCAAGTTGTTATCATTCGTCGCGCAAAGTGGCTTTGTGCGACGAAGAATTTTCACCGTCGCGCAAACCCTTTCTCCACGAGTTTTGCGCGACAAAACTTGCGCGACCAAAATTTCGTCCTATTTATAGGAGCCTCGGAGTGTTTCGTAGAGAATAAAACTCTTATTAGGAAGGAGTTTATTCTTTCCCCAAATTGTAGAAATTGAGTCTATTGAGATCCAAATCTCCTAATTTGATGATGATTATATCTCCTTATTAGGATAATATCTAAATTAATTATATTATCTTATTAAATAAAGATAATATCCTATAATTAAGATATTATCCATATTAATTAATTGGCCAAATAAATTAATTCAATTAATTAATTTAAGGGATATTCGTCTTTTCCACGTGGCATGCTATGATTGGAGACGAAAATATTTGCTCATATATATATATAGACCATGGTGTTATGGTAATTCTTGAATCAGTAGAAGATTAGTAGATTGGAACTCAAACTCCAAGCTGTTTGTTTGGTAACAAATGAGGACGGATATTGCTCCATATGATTCACTGTTTGGCAAAAACAAATTGTTTGATAAATCTAGCTAACCTGAAACCCTACAAATTAAGCTGAAGGAAACAAATTGTATTAAGTCGATGCGATTTGTGTGAGTATCATAATATTATTGGCACTAGGTAAGTCACTAAGTGCCCGTTTGGCATTTGCTTATTTGGGGTGATAAGTAATTTTAAAAAAAAATTGGGAAGCCCAGTCTATTTGGTAAACTATGAGAAAATCACTTATTGTTAAAAATTGCTGTGAGAGAAAGCTATAAGGGAAATTAGCTAATGAGGTGCTATCAGCTAATGAGGTGCTTTCATTTTCTAATTATGCAGGAATCAGTTTCGAAGAGGCAATGGGTTTAATGATTATGCGGCAATCATTTTCTGATTATGTGGGAATCAATAATAACAACACTTTTAACAAAAAGTTTACCAAACGCCAAACTGCTTTCTCTCACAACAAATCTGACAACGATTATTTTCACAGCACAATAATGCCAAACTGGCACGCTAAGAGTCTCCGTTCTAGCGACAGTAATTTCAGTTGATCACCAAAAAGAATTTATGACAAGCTTATATATATTGACCACGAAGTACCTAACATTATTTGGTCACTACATTAGTTTTACGTACTTTTAGTGACCATTCTGTTGGTCACTAATGTCATTTTTTTCTTGTACTGCAGATATGTAATTTAATAGAGCACAAACCACCATTTTAGGTCTAATGTATTTTCTGAGATGAACTTCCTATTTTCGGGGCGCCGGTAAAAATCGATCAAACCTAAATGAATAATCATCTAAGTTTTCCTAGAACAAATAGACCTATGAAGATTATTATGATAATCAAATAGCTAGTTGACCTCTAATTTGATGAGCAAAGATCCTACGAAACAAAATCCTAATTAATATATAGAAATATTAATTATTGAAATGGTCCAAATAAAACCAACTCCAAGTATACTTTTCATTCTACGAAAGTTTAATATGTGGTACTTATTTGTTAGAAACAGAAATTTCTCGGATTAAATTATAACAATTGAAACACACGGCAAAACCGAGCATAAAAGTTTAAAGGATGAATCATAATATATTGATCACATAACCGAAGAGACCACTAGCTACCGAAGCTACAGCACTTGCAAAGGCCCAACAGCTATTGAAATCCTCTATTGCTTTCATTACAACCTCCTGAAATAATAACAATTACCCCATCAGAATGCTGTAGAATTTAAACATAGAGAATATGTAACATTGGAGTATATTATTTATATATATATATAGCTAAGTGAACTCACACTAGATCGGCTAACTTGATAGCAGACACCCAATCCCAGCACAAGACATGTTAGTAGGGCGAATCGCCTGTCTTTGAGGTAGGTGAAGGCCAATTTAGCCTCTGAGGTATTGGACTGAGAAGAGTTTGGCTGCACCAACAAAACGCTTCAACTGTAATGATAAGTTATGGAACCAAATATTTTTGACAGGCCAAGATTAATTAAGTTTGGAAAAGATTAGATCCAGCTTGACTTACTTGAGTGGAGTCGGAACATTCTGGCTACATGCATCTCAAATAGCTTCAGCCATTTTGATTTCTTATTTATATACATATATGCTATTTAACCAAATTAAGAAGAGAGAGAGAGAGAGAGAGAGAGAGAGAGGAGAGAGAGAGAGAGAAACTAAATAAATCGATGATAAGTTAAATGTTACCTGATCTTGTGTTGGTATTAATGGTGTTGTGCCCCTGGAATTGAGCGACAAATAGAAAAGAGTTTTAAATTCCTGAAAATTCAACTCGCCATCTCTGTTAGTGTCGAGCTCCTGGAAGGGGATCATGTAAGAGCTGCCATGATAAAACTGCTGGTATTCGATGAGGGTTATTGTCCCATCACCATCTAAATCCATTGCTTCAAAATCTTCCCATGCTTTATCCTTTTGCTCCTCTGACAAATTATCAAAACAAGCTAAAGCAGCCTCCCGTGTTTCTTCCATCTCGCTCTCTCTCTAGGAAGCGGAAGCTATTAGATTTCTGTTCATTTTAATTTTATGTGAGTGGGGGAAAATCAAGTATACTTTTCAACACGCTTAGGGTGCCCTCCACAATTCATAAAATTAAAAAAAATATCTTTACCATTATTGTATTTACGTATTGACTTAGACTTTGCGCATGGATATATTGGTGGTGTCTAGGATGGGCGCAGTCCGAATTCGATCGTTTTATTTCAAAATCGCTGCCAAATTTATTATAATATAGTAATTTAGTTTGGTTTTGACAAAATTCATGAAAAAATTGAATCAAATCGAATCAATTTAAAACGGTTTGGTTCGGCCGATTTGGGCCTAAGCTCAATTCTCTCTTCTTTTGGATTTTTGCAACATTGTTAGTCCAATTACAAACAATAAATTCACAACTTGCTCAATACTTAAATCTTTTTTAGAGCAAAAAGGACCCACTAGTATAGTGGTTTGGAGTATTTACTCCCTCAGGCAAGGTTCTAGGTTCGAGTATTGACTTAGACTTTGCGCATGGATATATTGGTGGTGTCTAGGGATGGGCGCAGTCCGAATTCGATCGTTTTAATTCAAAATCGCTGCCAAATTTATTATAATATAGTAATTTAGTTCGGTTTTGACAAAATTCATGAACAAATCAAATCAAATCGAATCAATTTAAAACGGTTTGGTTCGGCCGATTTGGGCCTAAGCTCAATTCTCTCTTCTTTTGGATTTTTGCAACATTGTTAGTCCAATTACAAACAATAAATTCACAACTTGCTCAATACTTAAATCTTTTTTAGAGCAAAAAGGACCCACTAGTATAGTGGTTTGGAGTATTTACTCCCTCAGGCAAGGTTCTAGGTTCGAGTCTTAGCATCCATGTAGTGTATGTGAGTTTAGTATACTATCGCCCCTCTCAATAGGAAAGGTTAAAAAATATATATATAAAAATAATATTAAATTTTTTTTTTCTAGAGTATGAAACCATCTAAAGATCAACATGTCATAAAACTTCAAATTTCAATAACTATCCATATATAATTATGACCTAATTAGAGTATTACACATGTATAATAAATAAATAAACACATAAGCCAAACCAATTTTTAAACCGTTTGAATTTTTCTTGATCAAAACCAAACTAAATGGATAATTACAAATTAAATCAGTCAGTTTCATTGTTGGCCAGATTAATGCCCACCCCTAGTGGTGACCAGGCCGTCGGCCTCTTAATTATTTTCTTTACATCAAGACAAAAGACCCAGCTGCAAATTGTATTTACTATTTATTTATATGGTCACGATCATATTTGATTATTTTTTTCAAAAGGAATCAGAAACGAAGTTTCTGAGACTTTGCATTACTTTTTGAAAAACCCTGGCAAAGAAAAGGCTAGAAAGGGAAATGAAACGAAGTGCGGGCCAATAAATTTCCTATAGTTTGAGCTATTGTCAAATCTAGTTATAAGAGCCCAGACAATTTTAGGGTCTAACTTTAAATAGCCCAAAGTTACTAGTATGATATTAGATAAGATATGGAATATGATAAACAAGAATACGAAGTGGCCATGGTAACTGGATAGAGTTTTCAAAAATGTTTCATGAACAAACACAAACCCCGAAACATCTTTAACCTTCAACCTTCTAATGCCATCAATCCAAAATCACCAGAACACTGTTATGCCTCTTTCTAACAAAAGACTGCATATCAAGTTTAAGAGTTCTCCCTTAATCACTGAAGTTTTGATATTATTACATCAACA